AACCCCCCCAAAAAAAAAAAAAAAAAACCTTCGAAAATTGCATATGCAGGGCCAGCCCATGGTGTAATGGGGTCCTCCTAAAATGACGTGTGGTTCAAGTCCCAGACCTAGAAGCTTGAGAACCTTGCTGGGCACATGTATGTGCGTGCCCAAAGTCCCAAAAAAGAGGAGGTGGAGTAGAAGGGGTTGTGGCTTGGCCCCCCACCCCGGGGGTCTCTCTCCAGTGAGCATGTGTGTACTCTGGCACAATTTTTAAAAAGTGCATATATGCTAGCATGGCTTCAAAGTTTGCAGAGTGGTTTCTTCAAACCATGTGCCTTTCCTGGCCTTGTTATCTTAGGAGCTGTGGCTTCCCTGGGTATGGCAGCCACGCCAGGCCGCCCTGCGCCCTGCGCCCTGCGCCCCGCACCCCATCCTGCAGCCGCCCTGCCCCCATGCCTGCTTCGTGCCCCACCCACTCCTGCAGCTGCCCCGCCCCTATGTCCACCCCGTGTCCTGCCCCTTCCTGCAGCCGCCTTGCCCCCATGCCCACCCTGTACCCCGCCCACTCTTGCAGCGCCCGCTCCGTGCCCACCCTGAGCTGGTGCAGTGCAGCCTTGCTGACAGCAATTTCTCTGGCCCAATTTCACACATTAGAGCAGGCGGTGAGGTGTTGGGACGTGACTTTAGAACCACTGTGGGTCAGCCTGGGCCAGCCAGAGCACAACAGACCTCCTGGGAGCCTTCCCGGTCGGGTCGGACTGTGCGGTGCTGCTCAGCACTGCTCGTCCCAAGTGGCGCGGGCCATGGGCGGTGAGAGCAGCGGGCTGCGTTTCTGGTCACTGGTAACACGCAGCCCAAAACATGGACTTAAGCCAGAAACCCTTCCTTAACGTGGAAGAAGGTGCTACTTGAAAGCCTTCGGCCAGGAGGGTCTGCCATGTATTCCTCACTCTCCTCTCGCAGAGACGCGAACCTGTGAGTGTCCGTCCTGCCTGGCACTGGCAGGAGCCCCGGGATGGCTGCAGACTTGTCTATGGCATCCCTGACGCTCACGCTGCACCTCGGCTATTTCATGGTTAGGGTTAGGGTTAGGGGTTAGAGCTAGAGTTATGGTTAAGGTTACAGTTATGATCAGGGTTAGAGATAGGGGTTAGGGTTGGGGTTGAGTTAGGTTGCCCAGCTCGTTAGGGTCAGGGTCAGGGTTGGGTTAGGGTCAGGGCTAGGGCTGCGGGGCTGGTCTAATTTTGCCAGTTAGGGCTAGGGTCAAGGTCGGGGCCGGGGCCAGGGCTGCAGGGCTGGTCTGGCTCTTCCGGTTAGGGTTGGGGTTGGGGCCGGGGCCGGGGCTGCAGGGCTGGTTTGGTTCTGCCGGTTAGGGTCAGGGTTGGGGCTGCGGGGCTGGTCTGGCTCTGCCGGTTAAGGTTAGGGTTAGGGTTAGGGCTAGAGTCATGGTCGGGGCTGCAGGGCTGGTCTGCCTCTGCTGAGCTCACGCTGAGCCCCCTGTTTCAGGACACCAGCTGGCCATCTCACCAGACACGCAGGACTTCGCTGTGAACTGGATGGGCCAGGATGTGGCAGGGGCCACTCTGGGGATCGTCGGTATGGGCACCATTGGCTACAAGGTTGCTCAGCGGGCCAAGGCATTTGAAATGGAGGTTCTGTACCACAACCGGCACCGCAGGTAATCAGCAGTGGCCTCGGGAGCCAGCGGCAGGACTCGCGCCACCACTGCCCGCATGGCCAGGCGCCCTCCCAGGACTCCTTGTTCTCCAAGTAGAACCCAGGCCAAGAACGGGATCGGGAACTTGGATGGTTACTGAGAAACTTGGCTCTTGATTCTTTCCTCCAAGGGGCCAGCAGGTGATGTGGTGGTTAAGGCCCAGAACTCCCACATGGCTGACCGTGGTTTGACTCCCGGACGCAGTGGCTAGAAACTCGTGCTGGGCACATGTGCTTGCCCCAAATCCTGAGAGGAGAATCAAAGAACAGGGGCTGCAGCATGGCCATCCCCCAGGGGGTGAGCTCTTACTTTCCAGCTCTCTGTCTCTCTGTGTGTCTCCAGTAAGCACATGCGCCCCATAGTAAAAAGTCTCTTAAAATAATAATAACAGTAATAAAAAACTCACCATAAAGGAAGAAGTTTCGACTCCCCCACAGTGTGAGCTCTGTCTTCTTTCTTTTTTAGATTTTAAAGATTTTTTTTTAGAGGTTTTTGCTATAGGGCGTGTGCGCTTGCCAGAAAGACAGAGACAGAAAGCGAGAAATCGCCCCCCAGAGGGTTTGGCCATGCCGCAATCCTTTCTCCTCCATTCTCCTCTTGGGATCTTGGGCACGCATGCACTTGCGCCCAGCATGAGTTTAAGACACTGGGTCCGGGACTCGAACCGCGGTCGACCACATGGGATTCCAGCGACACAGCCATTATGCTAACTGCTGGTCCCACATTTTAAAGATTTTTTTTGCCATAGGGTATTTGTGCTCACTAGAAGAGAGAGACAGAGAGGGAAAGTGAGAAATTATACCCCAGGGGCAATAGGCATGCCACAGTCCCTTCTCCAGCCTCCTCTCGGGATTCTGGGCACCCATGCACTTGCACCCAGTATGATTTTCAAATCACCAAGTCTGGGACCTGAGCCGTGTTCGGTCATGTGGGAGTCCAGCCTTAACCATCATGCTACTTGCTCCCCCAAAGTGAGCACTTTTTATTTATTTATTTATTTAAATTATTTTTAATTTTATTTATTCATTTAATTGTTTTATTTTGACCAGAGAGACACAGAGAGAGAGAGAAAGTGAGAAAGCAAGCCACCAGGTCAGGACTTGAACCATGGTTGGCCAGTGGAAATATCCAGCGCTTTAACCACTTCACCACCTGCTGGTCCCTGAGTGCTTTTTATTTTGGAGGGATACTTTTGAGTGTGGGCAAGGCCGCCCATGCTCACCGGGCAGTCTGACTGGTCCTTGGCCCTATGCTGCAGGCTGAGCTCTTCCCAAGCTTCTGAAAGACGCAGTGCAGCTGGCAGCCCCGCAGTGCAGCTGGCAGCCCCGCGGGCCATGCTCTGAGCCTCGTCTGGCGTCGGGGGCGGTCAGGACCCGTCTCCCACGTCAAGGGCTGGGTGAGTGTGGCTTGCTGCCTCCCACTGCCCCTCCACACCTTCCTTGGGTGTGGCCACCCACCTGGCTGGTGCCGTGAGACCTGGTGACCATGTGGCTTACCACAGCTCCATGTGCAAGATCGTGGTCTGGACTTCGCCCCAGAGGAGTCTTTCCTAACCCGCTGAACCTCCTTGTCCAGGGAGTGTTACGGCAACGGCGACCCCAATCAACCACAAAAGCCGGTTCTTGATGTAAAATGCAAGAGGCTTTATTGCTAGCGTGCTAGGACCACTCTCAGTTATACAAGACATGATTACGAGTGAAGCCCCGAACAAAGGGGCATTCAGGTTATATAGACATGAGTCCATGGGGTGAGGGGAGGAAAGAATGAGGAAGAAAGATAAGGGGCTTCAAGGGTAATTTTATGGCGACCCTGGAGTTGCTCAAGCAGGACAAAAATGTTTCTCTTTACAATTGTAGCCATTTGGTCAGGTTTGCAGGGGCATTTGATCTGGGTTTCCCGGGCTAGCAGAAGGGGGGAGTTTTACAATACAAGGGTCCGGCTTCCTGCAAGGTGCTAAGCTAACTTGCAAATGGCTCTGGGCTTCCTGCAAGGTGCTAACGAATTGCCCCAGGCTTCCACAACTTCAGCAGCATCAGATTTAGTACAGAAGCAAAAGAGGCAAAGGTTAGACTTTATAAGACAGGATAGTTTAATTTTAGTACAGAAGCAAAAGAGGCAAAGGTTAGACTTTATCTTTATAAGACAGGATAGTTTAATTTTATTCTACCCCCCACCCCTCACTGCTCACACCCTCCCACACCCACCTTCCTACTCTCCGGCAAGCCAGACCACTCATAGTGCTGAGCGACTCCCGGTACACATGGCGTGAGACTTCTCCCTTAGCCCCGCCGCCACCAGGTCTCCTGACCTGGGGGGTGGGGACCTCTCTATCAGTCACATGATGTCCAAGGCCCCTTCCCTGATATGAATGCAAGTGGCGTGAAGCGGTATTGTCAGCACAGAAGTATATTTTCCAAACATTGAAAACACCACCACGGGGACCAGCAGATGGCATAGCAGTTACAGTGCCGGACTCCCACATGGCCGACTGCCATTCAAGTCCTGGACCTGGTGCCTTCAAAATCACACTGGGCACGTGTGCATGCATGCCCAAGATCCTGGGAGGAGAATGGAGAAGGGATTGCGATGTGGCCATCCCCCGGGGCAGTATTTATCACTTTCCCTCTCACTGTCTCTGTCTCTCGCTCTCTCCAGTGAGCACACATGCCCTAAGGCAAAAACTTCTCAAGCAAACACTGCCACGTGATAGCCACCTTTATTAACTCAGTAACCAGATTCCGGAGCAGGCCAGCGAAGGCCGTAGTCATGTCGTGGTGAGCACGGGTGGCTTGCTGAAACCCTACCTGCGCCATGCAGCCTCCTCCGCCGGGCAGACATAGGCAGTGTTGGCACGCAGCGGCTATCCCAACACCTGTAAGGAGGAAGCTCGTGTTTTGGTGGGGCTCAGCCAGAGTGAACGCAATGGTTTCTCCTGGTCCCCCTTCGTGGGTCCCCCGGTCCTGAGCCTATGCCCGGGCCCAGCAAGCTTCCTCCCTTCGCTGGGGCTGGGGCTGTGCCTGGCTGGCTCCTCCAGCCTGGTCGGCCCGGTCTGTCCCGGCCAAGGTGTGGTGGTTGCAGATGCAGGCATGCAGCCTGTGTACTCATCCGTCTCAGTCTTGCAAGGATGCAACTGTGCAGGGTCAGACATCTCTATTTTTTGTTGTTGAGATTTTTGCTATAGGACACATGTGCTGGCTGGAGAGACAGACAGAGAGACAGAAATTGAGAAATCAGCCCCCAGGGCGCATGGCCATGCTGCAGTCCCTTCTCCTCCACTCTTTTCTCAGGATTGTGGGCATGCACACACACACACACACCATGATTTTCTTTTTTTTTGGAGAGATTTTCGCTATAGGGCGCGTGCCAGACAGACAGAGACATAGACACAGAAAGCGAGAAATCACCCCCCCGGGGGGATGGTCACGCCGCAATCCCTTCTCCTCCATTCCCCTCTCAGGATCTTGGGCACGCACGCACATGCGCCTGGCGTGAGTTTTAAGCCACTGGGTCTGGGACGCGAACCGCGGTTGACTACGTGGGAGTCCAGCGACATAGCCATTACGCTAACTGCTGGTTCCCAACACGCAACATGAATTTCAAGCCACTGGGTCCAGGACTTGAGCTGTAGTCAGTCACATGGGAGTTCAACACTTAACCACTACACCACATGCTGGCCCCGATGTCTCTGCAGTTTTGCTGTTGTCCCACTGCCCGGACAGAACTGGCATCTAGGACAGTTGTGTAACTGACAGTGGTTAAATAAAGGAATGGGCTTCTGGTCTCTCAAGAAATGTGGAAAACTCAGCGTGTCCTGTAACCAGCATTTCTAGAGGCCTGGAAAGCTGGGCAGTTCAATAGCAGAATCTTCTCTCATCTCAGTTACTTTATTTGCACAATAAACAATGAGAAACTTGAGTCGTGGCCTTTGGGGCCACAGGAAGGTCAAAGCCACGGGGGCCGGCCCTCATGGGGAGCTGTGGTCAGCGTGTTGTGGGGATCGGTGCTGTTCTCCAGCCCATGTGGTGACCAGACTCGGGGTCTCTGTTGGTCCCCAGTTCCCCAGGTAAACAGGGCAGGTTACGACGTGGCTGGAAGCAAAGGAACACAGGACTAGGGTCCAGCCTGCGTCGGACCCTCGATACCTGCCACAGAGGGGGCTCCGAGCCAGCCT